GAAACCTGAAGAATTTCATAATGCCCATCTTGGAATCATATAAAGGACGACTCAGATCCCAATGACAACATTGTATCGTTCGAATCATCCATATTTATTTTAAATATTTTTGATGCCCTTAAGTGTTAAGTTTTTCTTCACAACGATGATTAACCACATTAAGGTGGTTTGACACTTTGTCAGTGGGGGTAATCAACTGTTTTCAGGAGTTCTGAAAATTTTTTCTATCGCAGTTTCCCAGTGCATTGAGGACTAAGAAGAATGCCTTATCCTTATTGTAACTGAAGCAGTGAGTCGACTAGAGCTTGTGGTCATTTATCACACATTTCCAGAGCGAAATGCTGGATGTCAAGGAACTGAAACACGACATGGGCCAAGCTGCACTGACACAGGGAGTGAGGTCGAAAAGAATTCATTTTGGCCTTGAACTCGCAGAGCCATAGAGCTTGTCCGAGCTGTTAGAGATGGCCAACAAGTATATCGTCGCCAATGAGAATGCTCCAAAACCCGCAACAGAGACACCAGAAACGACCACCACAAGACAACAGAAAGCAACCCAGACAAATTACGTGACCAACTTTTAGCAACCCTGTTCATCGTCACGAGGATCAGAGGAGCCAAATCAGGGCTCAGAACCACATATCATCCTATCATCATGAGAAACCCTGACACAACCACAGTGCCCTCTGTGAAAGCACTCTGAGAGTGTCCATGGCGGAAATAATGGATGCAATTCAGGACAAGGAATTTTTCAGTAAGGCACCACCGATGAGAACTATAAATTTCCTCCAAGCTAGCAGGAGATATTGCAAGAATCACCAAGGCCACGAGCATGAAGTATGATCAAGGAACTGATGAAGGAAGGGAAACTGAAAAAATTTGTTTCTCCTTGAGTCGTGACCTAGAGACAGAGCAAAGCCCTCCACGGGAGAAACAACCTATGGACATGTACGCACCAACGCCATTCAAATTGCAGGAGAATTTGTTTCTCCTTGAGTCGTGACCTAGAGACGGAGCAAAGCCCTTCACGGGAGAAACAACCTACGGACATGTACGCACCAACGCCATTCAAATTGCAGGATATGTGCCCACAATCTTTGAAAGAAGTCAACTACCCATGAGAGCAAACTAGCCTTTTACTTGGTCATTTCAACATGAAGGCTTCAACCATATTTTCCAGGTACACCCAATCAGGTAATCATCAACCACCTGTTAAAGTCTGTCCTCACTAGATCAGAACATTCCTGTTGACTACTCAAGTGGGCCATAGAACTCAACTAGTTTGACATCTTTTACATCCCTTAGACGACAATAAATACACAGGTGTTGCAGACTTCCTTGCAGAGTTCTTTGAACTGAGGACACGAGTGAATAACCGGCGATTGACAAATGTGTTTGGACCCTATTCACTGATGGAGCATCTAGTCGATTAGGCTCTAGACTTGGTGTTTTCTTGTGTAGCTCATCGAGGAAAACATCTATCACTCAATTGAGGTAAATTTTTGAATGACTAATAACCAAGCAAAATATAAATCTTTGATTGAAGGACTTCACTTAGCCTCAAAGATGGAAGTTCTCCAAATAATGTTGAAGGCTGATTCACATATGGTAGCAAACCAAATCAATAGAGAATTTGAAACCAATGATGAGACTATAACAAAGTACTTAAGGAAGGTGAAAATGGAGATCGGCCAATTTGCCTGTTTTAAAATTGATCATGTTTGATGAGAAGAAAACTAGATCGGTGACCACCTTTCACGAGCCTTCATATGAAGGAAAGATAGTCTCGAAGTCTTGATCGACCCTCAAACGAGGAGCCACTATTAATGGAGGTTTGTCAGAAGGAGAAGAAAAGTTGGATGAGCTCATACATCCAATACCTAAGCACAGGGGAGATCGACGTAGAAGTCACCAATCATAGGAGATTCAAGTATAAAACTATCCAATATCTATTACTTGGAAGGAAAACTCTTCAGAAAGTCAGCCACATCCTTGTGCATAAAGTGAATAGAGGAGGAAGAAGTTGAAGACATAATCCAAGAAATTCATTCCAGAGAGTGCGAAAGTCATTTCAGAAGAAAGACAATAGCTCACCAAATCCAACGACAATGTTACTTCTGACTGAATTTGCTTAAAGATACTGAGGAATACTCTTGAAGATGCATGCCATGTCAAAAATGCGGACCATTGCGCCACTAGCCGACCCATAAAATTCACCCAATCGTCAACCCTTGGTTGTTCGCCATGTGGGGGCTCAACATCCTTAGACCTTTTCCATCATCAAGAGGACAACAAAAATTCTTGCTAGCGGTCGTCGATTATTTCTCCAAATGGGTAAAGGTGACGCCCCTGACACACATAACAGTGGATGAAGTCCGAAACTTCATATAGACTGACTTGATTTGTTGATATGGGTTATCCCCGCCATCATTATAGATAATGAGACCCAATTCATCGATAAGGGGGTTCAGGATTTCTATAAGAGCCATAAGATAAACCTCAAATTTACCTCCGTACATCATCCTTAAACCAACGAACAAGCAGAGGCTACAAGCAAAGTCATTCTAAATTTATTGAGAAAAAAAGTTGGAAGGAGAAAAGGGTAAATGGGCAGACTTAATCCCTTTCGTACTCTGGGCGATTCAGGCAACCTCATCCTCGTCCACAAAGCAAATCCCTTTTATGTTGTCCCATGGAATGGAACCCATGCTACCAGTTAAATACAATATTCACAACTAGAGGGCACTCTCCAGCTCAACTTTCAACTAGGAGGAATTAGAAGAATGGAGTGAGGCGTACGACGAAGGAGTCAAGCTAGCCTTAGACCTCATCGAGGAGAATCAAGCGCAACCTTTCGACAAGAAGAAATCAAGCGAAGGTTACCTAAATATTTCAACAAACATATTTACGTGGAATAATTTACCCCTGGAGACCTTGTATTGAAAAAAACTGACACCACCGCTAGGAGGCGGGCTATCGGGAAGCTGGATCAAACCTAGAATAACCCTTACATTATTCACCAGAGAGTCAGGCCAGAAGCATACAAGCTGAAAATGTTCGAAAGAAATGATGTTCCCCAAACTTTGAGCGGCGATGACCTAAAGAAAAATTTTTCCTTAAAATTGTCTTTACTCATCGATGAGGCAATGCCATTTTTTTTTCATAACTCTTCAGTTTCTTTCAAAAGCCCTCAATACAATGAAGGAGTTTTATGATACATGACATCTAAATAATTGAAGTTTTGCATATTCAAAACCATTCTAATGATATTTTCTTTGATTGCTTTCTTTACGCTCGGGGAACCGACACAGTTACTGTCGGAGAACTAACACTGTCATGCTTGTAAAACTAACCCAACAAGGGGTTAAAACTAATCATTCAACATAATGATTGCCAATGACCTATGAGACGTATCGACACCCGACAACGATAAGCTTTGTGAGGGGTGCGTCAGCCAACCACAAGCTTTGCAAGGGGAGTCTAACGATTGCCAGCGACCTATAGGATGTATCGACACCCTGCAACGACAAGCTCCACGGTGGATGCTTAAACGAAAGTATTGCACCTGAATGCGAAGTTAGAACCTAATAATGACAAGCTCTGCGAGTGATGTTTAGTGGCCGCTAACGACCTAGGGGACGTATTGACGCTCGACAGCGACAAGCTCTGTGAGGGATGTAGAAACGTTCATCCTGAGCCCTCATTATAACGTTAAAAACTGATTGAGACAAGCTTTGCCAGGTGTCTAACTATTGTTGGCGGCCTATGATATGTTTTGGCACCCAACAAAGACAAGCTTCACAAGGTGTGTGTACGCGATCGTCC